AATGGGTAATCGATAAAAACTAGTGGAAAACGACCACAACACGAACGATATATTACCGTCTTACCCCTTGCCAAATTTAAAAACGGAACAAAAAACAAGTTGGTGCTGTGCCAAATCCATCGCCGCTTAACACGGCCCACTATCCGTAGCGAACAACACTGCAGGCGTTTGGTTCCATAGGTTACGGGGCAGATGTCAACCAGACGATCTCTCGCTGCGAGGGTCCAGGGCTAATTTCACGGGGCATCTACCAGTCCAGCAGTTGAAGGGGAAGGTAAAGGAGGAGGGATCAGAGAAGGAAGGAAGAAAAAGAAGGAAGGAGGGAGAAAAAAGGAAGGAGGGGAGAAGCTTTCCGGTTGACATGTGCCCTGAGACGGGTTCCTACAGCACTGAAGCGCTCGAAGAGACCTCACTATCAGTTTTCGAAGGAAATCTAATTGAGTGCACTGTTTCGCATTCAGGTGCTTTCTAGAAAAGGAACCACTATCTTCCTAGCCGAGCGAGCAGTAATATTGATGAGGGAGATTGCGGTGCTAAGTGGGGCCATGCATCTGAGCCTCTGCGTCTGTTCCCCAAATGCAGGCACAGGTTCAGTGCGCAGGCGACCAGAGTAGCCGCGGACTACTAACAAAGCAGTTTCTACACGGCTCTGGTCGCCTGCGCACTGAGCCTGCATTTGGAGAACGGACGCAGAGACGCAGAGGCTCAGATGCATGGCCCCGCTCAACAACGTTGTCACCAGGATTGTATTGGTTTCATATGGGTAGGCAATCATTGGGTTTTGGGGGTTTGTTGACCTATCCTTGTTTAGCCTAGAACGTAGTCGCTGATTAATGTGTGGACTATCTGGCACTCCTAAGGCCGCGTTCATACCGTGCGACGTCTTTTGCGTAAGTTGCGACTAGTTCGTGAAGAATACATACGTATCGATCCGACGAAAGCTGCGTAAGTTGCGACTAGTTTGTGAAGAACACATACGTATCGATCCAAAGAAAGCTGCGTAAGTTGCGTAAGCTGCGTAAGCTGCGTAAGTTGCGTCGATTAGCGTATGTATTATTCACGAACCAGTCGCAGCTTACGCAACTTACGCAGCTTACGCAGCTTTCGTCGACGTTGACGACGGCGTCGCACGGTATGAACGCGGCCTAACCTGCTTTTAAAGGACCACTGTGCCATTACAACACTTGGTCCTACAGTGCCTCCTACTGTATCACTTAACAACTGGTTTTATCGTAGAGGCAGTCCTACTCATTGAGGGTTTGAATGAAGAGTTTCTCGGGAACGTTCGCTTCCAGATCGTATCGCTTCGGTGACATTAGATTCGTACGAGCTTGGCAATGCCATAAATGTCAATTCAGGTCCTGCAGCTCTTTCTTCCCTTCCATGTGCCTTGCGTCTGATCGATAAACATTTTTCCTTGCATTAACCTTTCATGGCTTCTGTTAGCAGCTTTGTTTGGAATTCGAACATCAATATTGTACTGTCGATCGTATTTTGTACCAGACTGTGACAGACTCTTCCCCTGTTCCAACAGTTACCAGTCAATTCTACCAGACAGGTGCTGTTCAGGCCTAAGTGGCAGACATAAGTGGAGATACTCTGAGCCATCAAAGTACTTTATCGTGGTTTATCAAGCATGTAATCGAGCGCTAGTGGTATTCAACCCCGCCAACGGTCCGGATGCGTATTGAAAGATTCACTGAACGAAACTGGGCTCCACGTTTGATATTTATAACTTTCTTAATCCGGGTAATATTAAAGAGATAGTTCCGATCGGCTTTATGTCACAGTATAACTGCTCGAGAACAGTCCTTGCATATTAATGTAATGAGCTTTTAAGGAGTCTAGTATAAACGAAAGTGGCATAAATACATCAATGTCAAGTTTTAGATAGGTATCATCAAGGTTTAGTGAATTTAGTAACAGCTTTATCGACCGTGAAATCCAAAGGGATACTGTAACATCAAGCTTCTGAACACCGGTACTTTTTTTACATTATACTAGAAATGAATAGTATATAGTATTTAGTGAAGATTGCAATTCACATCTAATGAAATGAGAATCGAGAATCCAGCAAAGCTGCGTTTATACTTTGCGTCTCGGGAAATCGGCGTTTAGGGCGCCGATCGATACCTATAGTATACTTTTCGCCCAAAACGTAAAATCTCCCAAAACGCCGATTCTCTTTGAACCCAGATCAATAATCATACTTTTCGCGCATTCTCCCGAAATGCTGGCTTTTTCAGAACGCCGATATTCTTGAAACGTCAATTCTCCTAGAAAGCAAGGTATGAACGCAGCGTTAAGAAGCGCTCATACTGTGTGACACGGGAGAACAAAAAAATGCGTTCAAAAGGGAAACATGGATGTCGAACTGGCGAACAGGGCAAGGGAGCAACAGGAAAATTGGGAAATACAGGCACAGGATTTCGATCTACCCGATTAGCGCGCCCCTCCTTGTCACCAAGTCTGAAGCGCTTCCAGATATCCGAACAATCCAGGAAAAAAATCAGACCAATCGATTTCCTGTTCCTTCCTCAGATGTCCAACGTTTCATTCTCCGCAGCTACGTAAGGTAGAATCGATTGCTAAACGTAGAATGGCCCACGAGATTTGACCAAATAATGTCGCCCGCCGCCCTCCCCCCCCCCCCCCGCCCCGCCCCCCCCCCCCGCCCCCTTTCCCATCACATCTGCCATAGCATCAAAAAAGCCACTGCAGCTCTGAAAGTGGCTTTGACACGTTGTAATATAATCGTATTCAACAAGTTATTGTAATTACTTCTACCTTTCTTAATCAATAATATTACTGCAAACACAACTGTTCAGACGGTTTCATCAAAATTACGAATATGCATGGCACCTCAATATCGAGTAAGTGACATGCATGTTTCTGATTTTAAACAGCTCTCTACTGAATTGAAAAGCTTAGCATTGCTTAGATCAGTAAGTGTCAACGACTTCCATTTTCCGCCATAATTTTTTTTATTGAGTGAATTGCAGAGATTCTTCCTTTTAGCGAAACATTCGTTTGCATGCAATTTCAAAGGTATTCCTTGATGATCGTCTGCATGAGTATTGATGCGGGGCCATCGAACAGCCGCAGGCGTTCCATTTTTTGTGAAGTTACAAGTACGTTTTTCTTAAATGTTTCTTTGTTCGCCAAGAATTTGCTATAATAAAGCAGAAGGATAGACAAAGCTTCTGAACCTAACATTTCACGGTATTATGAACGATATAATGTAATTGTAACTTATCAGATTCGCATAGCTCATATTCTATTTAAATAATTGTGAGTACTGTAAGTACGTCATATCATTGAATAAAAGCTCAATCAACCGTCCTGCTTGCTTGGTACGACAAACTGAATGGACCATTTACCACCGTCCGTGAGTTTCTTGACCCGCAAAAAAGGAAAGATAAATGGGCTAGGTGCTGTGCCAAACCCAAGCTCATGCCGACACTCCTACCTCATTCACGGCAACTATTAATACTCCAGCATTACAGATTCATACTACCACGTTCGCTCTATACGCTCACGGATCACACAGCATGTGGACTTTAGTCGTTTTGCAACAAATATGATTGCCTAACTGTTAGAGCAGCTGCTATTGTTGATTATTATCCTTCACTACTGAAACACAACTTTTTTCCTTGACTATATCCTTTGATTAACTCTCGTCCTACCTTAAGCTCGAAGGATATCGCACTTCGTCCCTTGATCAGTGCTTAACACATCTTAGCACCTGTGATCGTGCTTCCACGTTACAGCCAGCTCCGTACAACCTTGACACATCGTTGCCGGGTGGGTACAATGTGATTAAAAGAATTCTTATGAAATCTGCCTTTTTTTACTTGCGTAGACTAGCTACTCAATCGTTTAGGTCCCGGTATCGATGATAACTCTTCCTATGGCAGGAAGAGTTCCAGTGTTTCCTACCGTGACCTCGGTATGTACTTTTTCCATTGAGTCAGCTGTTATTTCTGAGGCCGGCTTTCACGTGTAATACCCTCTCAGACGTAGTCTTTTTGTCTTGATTATTTCTCATAGACCTGGAAAGACCCTAACTCCTTATGGTCCTTGGAATTATAGAACTAGAAACTTTGCAGATAACTGTGACGAAAACTCGAACTCAGAAAAGTTTGGACGTCCGGGAGGATTTCAAGATAGAAGTGAGTTTACTGAAGTTTTAACACTTTCTTTTCAAATGTTCTCATTACATCAGATCAATCTGGTAACCGTGAATTCCGAGGGCGTGGCCGTGGCGGTCCTCGAGGACGAGGAGAGCGTGGATTTGGTCGCGGGCGCGGTCGTGGTGGTGGACATCGTGGTAATGTTTTCGTTTGGTAGCTTTTTTCCTTTTCTCTTGAAGACAGAGTCCGTGATTACAACTCCTGGGCTTTGGGCCGTTCAGCTATGAGTGGCTAGGTGCCAGTTGATCGCAGCTAAAGGAAAAGCGTGGACAAAACCGTCGAAGTCGCCCTAGGTGAAGTCACAGGATTTTTTTCAGTGTATCCGAAGAAGCGAGATATTGCTGCGCGAGATATAGATAGGAGCAACTTATGGGATATGAGGGAGGCGAGCGAGACGACGAAGTTCTTTCCAGGGTGTACGCACCCCCTCACTCGCGCTAAAGATATTGCACTGCTTCCACAGCTCTCAGATGGGTGGAGCAGGTACTACGGTTGGCTTACTGTCGGCTTATAACGGTCACAGCGCCACGGAAATGGGGCATAGTCGGGGATTGCGGCATGAGGTGTCTGAGCATAAAAGGATTCTACCCATCGGGTATTCGCAGAATGTGCCTTCGAGTTCAGTCCTTGGTATGTTTGCTCCACTTAGCACTTATTCCACAGACTTCTTTCTTTTTCAAACTGTACCTTTTCTATGTATTCCTCTTTCATTTCATTCCAAACCTTATAGTTACTTAGCAAGGCTTTCAGATGATGATAATGGGCGTGAAAATAGTTTCCGCGGACGTGGTCGTGGTCGAGGAGCTGATCATCGTGGTGATAGCAATA